TTGATTTTGTCTTTCTAGTGTTGGTACATGAAGTCACGATCGAATAGGTATCTCAAGTATACTTAGATAGATATTAATTCATCTTGATCCGTAATCGAAGAATTCCAAGAAAATCAAAGAAAAATCCCGTATTCATCTTGATCTGTAATCAAAGAATTTCAAGGAAATCAAAGAAACAAAAAATTTCATCCTTCAAATATAGATCTTGAGCAGGCTTACTGTCTGTCAATGTTTGTGAACCTGCAACTAATTAATTCTGAAGAGCTGATTCCCTACTTCACGTGGCTCGGGTTACGGACTTGTTTCTTTGTTGGTACCTTAATAGAGGACCATTATTTTGTGGTTGATGGTATTGGGCGTACTTTTGGGCCAACTCATAAGCGTCCAAAAATGAGAGAATCTTCAGAAGGGTGCAACCGTCCTATAAAGGAGGGCTACCTCGGCGGATGGCCCACACACCTCCGTACTTTTGGGCCAACTCATAAGTGTCCAAAAATGAGAGAATCTTCAGTGGGGTGTGACCGCCCGGGTGTGTGGTGGGCCACCCGCTGAGGTGGCACTTCGACATTGGATGGTCGCACAAAAATAGTTATAGCTAAAATTTGATGCTTCTAACTAATTAAAGAGTTAGATGTTGCGTGCTTTTGGACCAACTCATAAGTCATTTTTCTTGTAGTGAATAATGAGTTCGTGTTTTTGCATCAGCCCAGTGTCGGCCAGTTTACAAAACAATTACATAGAGAAACAAATGAGAGATTGGGGAAAATAACTAGTGAAGTTGAAGACTCTAATGAGTGGGAGTTCTGTGATTGACCAATTAAGGTTTTAGAACTGGAAATCCCAAATACTGGGGAAAAATTTTGAAGTGGGGGACGTAATACTGTGCACTGTAAGGCTCAGCCACTGGAAAGAGGCTATTTGAATTGTATCTTTTTAAGTAGTTTGGACACAAAGGTAACTGAGGGATTTACTTGTCATTGTGATTCTTTATCATGCTGAGCACAATTCTCTGTAGCAGTTGGGAGGCATTAGGAAAATCTTTCTCTTAGTCAAGCTCCATAGGCGAATTATACAAAATTGTGAATCTATTCAAATGGATTGAACTATACGAGTTCGTTGTACAAGTAATAATTGTGTGAGAGAGTTGTCGTCCCACAAGAAATAAGGCTCAATTCTAATATATTTGATATATTTAAATTGGTGTTTGTAACCAAAAGACAATTGCTAGATATCTAATTACATTTTGCAACTAAAACTTGTAAAATCAATAAAAATTTGGTAAAATCAAATAAGTGAATTTATTGGATTTTCGATTCCACTAATCAATTCCTAATTCTAATACTCGATCAATGATAATTATCTCAATTTATGCAATTTGACGATTGATAATTTTACTTTTATTTATTATTCTTTCCCAAAATTTAATAAACTCATGGTTACCACAAGATGATCATATTCCTAGTCCGAATTCATATGACAAACATGCATTGACATTTAGGATTATCATATATGATCGCAAACGCCATAAATACCAATTCTAATATTTATTGCCTGTATGTTCCAATAATAGTGTTCTACATATAGTAAGTTTTTCAATACTATGAATAAGAAAATTATTGTCATAATGGTGCGCAAACATTAAAAAAATAAGATTATGCATATTAATGGAATTACAATGCAAGAATTAAGACAAAAACACAAAATCTCAAAATAAAAACTAAGAGACAAAGAGTTTTGTCATCCATCCAATACAAATAATTTTTAGTCTAGCATATTAATGTAAGAAATAGAAGGAAAATAAAAGAAAGTCATCACCCGAATTATTAAACTATAAAAGAATATGAAAATATTCAATTAATGTCTTCAAATCTAGATCTAAAAGATGAATTATTCGTTCTTCGATGTATATTCTCTCTATTTCTCTCAAAAGTCGGCTTATAACATGACACTTCTTAGGTCTGGATTCTTCTTTTTATATGATATCGAGGAGATTGTTTACCAAAATAAAATAAGAAAATCTATTTTTTTTTTTCACCATTCACCACTAAGGAGCACGCTTGGGAGCCTCGAGGTGCCTCAATTGCTCATTTTTTATTTGGGGGCACGCGCCTTGCCTAATTTTTTTTATAACCAAACAGTTTTTAGTATTTTTTTCATAATTTTCTCTTCCAATATTCAATTGAGGTAATTCAAAGTGTGTTGAAAAACTTACTTAGAAGGCTATAATTTTTCTAGAACTATCATTTTTTTTCAATTCGAAATTTTGTTATGCCAAAATTGGGTCTCAATATGGGGCTGAAATTCGAAGCATAACTTTTTCAACAGAAAATTGATGTATGATAATATTTTGACTATAATTCATCCATTTGACTCTTTTCCTCATCCAATTGACCACGAGCACTCATAAATATTCATCTTGAGATCCGAAATAACTTTTGAGTATTTTCATTTTAGTCCCAAACTTTGAATTTGCTTCATTTTAGCCCATATCCTTTCTGTCTTCCAATTCTTCTTCGAAACATGAATTTTTTCTAATAAAAGTAATAAATAACAAATTAGGTACTAATCCATGCCAAGAGTAACAAAATATCATAATTTAGGATCCCAAATAAGTGTAGAAACTACACACATTGAACACTCGAACTTGAATCTTTATTATCCTTATTAACGTCAAAATTAGCAAGGCTAATCTCAAGCCAACTTTAAGATTAACGGGCGATTTATTGTTGAAAAAAGACTACAAAGTATGTTTAGAGAGTGTAATTATGCATTGAGTTGTTGTGTGAAATCACTTGCCTTTTACAAGAGTCTTATTCAACTATTTATACATAGTTTCAGTCGAAATTACATCAAATCAGTCAATTCAGCAACAGTGCCGAGCTCGAAACTCGGGTAGCCGAATTCTCCTGTGATTGGTCGATGAGGCTGGTGGTCATGTGTCAATGTGTTACCCAGGTAATGATGACTTGCAAGGGGCTGGAGTTCGAGGACTTAGAATTGGTTGTTCCGGGCGGCGATGATATCACCTATAGCAAATGTATCTGATTGATAGGGTGATGTGACAAGGGGTAATCATGATATTTTTCTGAGATAACGGCGAGTTTGTCCAACCTGGGAGTATGGGCCGAACTTACATTTAACTGAGATGAGGTTAGTGAACTGTTTTTATTAGGTCGGAGTTCGGATGTCAACAGTTACCCCCAGGTCAGTTCTTCTGTAAGGGGGAGCTGACATTCTGACTTGACTGGTTCTTTTTCCAAGAAAGGTAATTATTACTATGCCAATTGTCATGCCTGGATAGGGATGAGCTGTGCAGCACTTTTGGATTGCTTCTCCAGGAAGTTTCATCAAAGCTACAAGTTTCTGGGCCGTTTGATCTTTCCCTCTATTTTTGGATGAGTGGTTCAGATCGTATCTCTTGAGTTTCTTTTCCCTTAAATCTCTTTTCATTCCTCTTTTCACTGTTTCACTTTGCGCGACTCTTCTCTTTCAAAGCTATTGGAAAATTTCTTCAATTCGTATTTTGTTTTCACGAGTGAGGTCGACAACCTTCAGTTCTCAGGTATTCATCTGTTTCTTCCTCACATTCTTCTGTTCAAGCTTTATTCGTTTTCCTCTACATGAGCTCAGACGAATCTAGAGTGCATTCCTGGGGAAATCACCAAGAAGAATCTGTCCCACCCTCTCCTTGTTCTTCGTCCAGTTGTCAGGAAGTCTTGACCCCAGTCCCTCTTTCCGTAGTTAATCCACTGTACCTAGGACATCCTGTGAAAATGAGGTCGAAGAGTGAGGATTCGAGTGGAGAAAGGGCTAAATCTCGTGAGGTCAGTCAGGGGAATAACTCAAGTGAGTGGGGGCTAGTTTTTATAAATTCGTTGTTACGGGTGATATGCTGCGAGCTGGCGAGCTAAGTACGCCATTCCGAGTTCGGTGATCATGATAATGCCAGAACCGTCTGACCGAGCTGACGTTCTCCCGGAGGGATGCGTCCCTCTTAACTCTGCCATTCTTCAAGCATGACTTAGGCTTCCATTCCCTAGAATAGTCCGTAAGTTCCTTTCTTTCTAGGGCATAGCTCCCACTCAGTTATACCCGAACGGATGGCTAACACTGATCGCCACCCTCATCCTCTAGGATAAAATGGGAAATCCTGAACTAAGCATCCAACAGTTCAACTCCCTTTTCACTTTCAAGGAGGATGGGAAGAACTCCGGCTGGTGGTATACCAACGTTAGGCCGAGAACTGGAGGCTGGTTAGTTTTAGATACTTCGTCCTCAATCAAAAAATGGAAAGAGGAGTTTTTCTATGTGTCTGGAGAATGGCAATTCCATCCTTCCGAGGTGGACAGAGAGGATGTGGTCCCTAAGCTCTTCCATTCATTGTGTAAGTGATTATAAATTTGCTTCTTTGATGAGGTCTGTACTAATGTGATATTGACCTTTGTCCTTTTTGACAGATTATAAAAAGGAGAATTTGACAAAAGATAGACAAAGGAGAGCTGAGGTGATGAGGAAGTTTCCAAAGAGGCATAGATCTTGTAAGTTTGTGATATCGGGTTCAAACCTCTTTCAGGCTAGTTTAGTGCAAGTGCGGGTGTCTAGTCCATCTGCTCCGAAAGTGTCTACCTCGATCCCGTCCAGCTCAGGTGAAGGTTAAGCCTTTGTTATTATTATTAATACATATGATAATGATATTATATCTTTCTTCCGATTTCAGCATGTCACTCCGAGATGCTAGGCTACAAAGCAGCTAAAGCAGCAGCAACGGCTAACAGGAAGAAGAGGGAGGTTCCAACTGTGGAGAGTCATTTGGAGGGGACTGAGGAGGACTCCCAGTCACTTAAGAGGAACCGATCTACGACGCCTAGCGAGCCTCTTCCTCAGGCAGCCTTCACTCCAGTTGCTTCTCATCCTAGGTCGATCGAGGAGGTTACTCCGTCGCCGGTGGTCTCAACTGCCGTGCCCATGATTTCGGTGTTCGAAATATCGACAGTTACATTACCGTCCTCAACTCCTCCGAGTGCCCTAGCTGTTGCCTCCACCAGCTCAGTCAGGTCGCAAGATCGGTGTCCGGCTTGCAGCGACCGAGCTCGGTGAGTTTGCTGGGCCATCGGCTAGAGATATTTCTGGATTTTCTACGTGCTCCTTCTCCATCGAGGGAGACTACCGTGGCCTTCCCCTCACCTTTGCGTGAATCCACCAACCTTCTCACAAGGAGTTGGGGGGAAAAGGAACAGAACTTCTTGGGGGAGATGCCTGTTGGGAAGGCCATTGTCATTGCGCAACTTCATGGTCATCGCTCCATCTTGTACATGATGTCGGTGGCAGACAAGGTACTTGTCCTCAGTAATGCTTGTGTTTCAGAGATTTTGTTACTTATCGTGTTTTAACTGTATTTGCTTTTTGACCTTCTCAGGTAAAAGCCGAACTCGACAAGCTACTTGAGGCCAAGGATCACGCCGTAAAATTATATGAGAGTATGAATGAAGAAAAAGTGAATTTTGCTGCCAAGGATGAGGATTACAGAGGTCAGCTTCTATAAATGGGTGAGGAGCTGCATGTTGTGCTGACTTCTGAGCAGAATCTCCAGGACGAGGTTGCTGCTTTAAAGATTTGGGGTGAGAAGGCCAACAAGACGGCCGAGATAGAGAAGAAGAGAGCTGAAGAGGAGAGGGCACGGGCGGAAGAGCTGAGGGCCCAGGTTTTCGATGAGCGTTCTCATACATTAGAGGCAATCAAGAAGATGGAGGAAGCTCATGCGAGGTCAAAGGATGCAATGAAGAGAGCTGAAGAGGCTGAGGCCAAAGGTATTAGAGCCGTGGAGGCTTGGAGAGAATCTCCAGAGTTTGACGCCTTAGCCCAAGATGTATATGTAGTGGCCTTGGAAGAGTTAATAAAGCACGTCTGAAGGGAGAGGCCGAAGTTCGATGCTACCTTTTTGGACGAAGCACTGGTCGAGCAGAGGGAGGAGCTGCACAAATTGTCCGAAACTGCTAGAGTTCGGATATATCCTACTGACTAGGATGTTGAGGGTAGCGCCCCAGTCCCCCAAGACCCCTATGAGATTGTTGTTTTGAAGATATTTGGTATTTTGTAATATGTTTTGACTCATTTGTGAACTTCATTTTGATGTTTCATGACATTTTGTTTGGAATGGATGACTGTTTATATCTTAGCATGATTTCTTTAGCAACGATCTCGTTTATATGCGACAATACCTCACAAACTTAACTAAATTTGCCTTCCTAATGGGATATTTTGACTAAGTGTCGTAGCACATACGACCTTAGCTGGAATTGCATATAGGGAAGGATCTTTGAGAATTTCTAAGGAAGAATTCTCACTAGGTATCGTAGCGTGTATGACCTTAGCTTGGCCTGCGTAATTTCATAGAATTCCTTAGGAAGAATTTTTGTAGAATAATCTTAGATCGGCCTGGATATAGAGCAGGGTTTTGTAAGATTTCTTAGGAGAAATGTCCACTAAGGATAACATGTACAGCCTTAGATCGGCCTGCGTATAGAGCAAGGCTTTGTAAGATTCCTTAGGAGGAATGTTCACTAAGGATCGCAGCACTTATGACCTTAGATCGACCAGCATAGGGAGCAAGGTTTTGTAAGATTCCTTAGGAGGAATGTCCATTAAGGGTAACACGTACAACCTTAGATCGGCCTATGTAAGGAGCAGGGCTTTGTAAGATTCCTTAGGAGGAATTTTCACTAAGGGTAACACGTACAGCCTTAGATCAGCCTGCGTAGGGAGCAGTGTTTTGTAAGATTCCTTAGGAAGAATTTTCACTAAGGGTAACACGTACAGCCTTAGATCAGCCTGCGTAGGGAGCAAAGCTTTGTAATATTCTAACAGAATGCTGAATAAAATGTTCAAAAATAGGAAGTCCTTTTTTTATTGATGTGATTGGCATTACAAGCGGGTTTTATGGACTTCCCCGTTCACCGATAGAACTGCTTGAGGTGTTTGGCATTCCAAGGATGGGGTAAGGGTCTACCCCCCAAGTTTTCTAGTTCATATGCCTCCTTTGGCAAGACCTCCATCACCAGATAGGCGCCTTCCCAGTTTAGACCCAGGCATCCACTGCCTACCTCTCTTTGTGAGGATCCGACCTCGAATACATATGTTCTGATTCCACATGTTCGTCATATGCACTTCCGGGGGGGTGCGTTGATGATTGATACAAGCTTTTCACTGACATTTTTCAGTGAGCTCCCTGTTCCCTTTGACTTCACCCACACCATAGGATGTGGAGAATTTGATAGAATAGTGATATAGGAAAACTGCTGCTCTTAGGCTGAAGAGTAGGGGTTGTCCCATCACAGCATCATAGGGGAAGGGAGTGTCGAATACCACGAACTCGAAGTTTGTCTTCACCTGTCGGGGTGCTAATCTTGACTCAACTCTGAGTTTGATTGATCATTTGGTAGAGGTCAAGGCTCCACTTAATCCTAGGACCATATTCGGGTATGGTCGAAGAAAGTTAGCAGGGATTCCCATCCATTTAAGGGTACTACTGAATAGGATGTTCAGAGCGCTTCCTGTATCCACCAAGACTTTGGGAATGGTTACCCCGGTCATAGGCAATGAGATAACCAGAACTCTGGGGTTAGGATGTGGGTCCACCTCATTCTCCTCAAAGGACAGTTCTCATCTGTGCCTTTTTTGAGGTTCTTCTTAGTTATGCCGATCTTCGAGAGATCCGCAACGGCTAGTCTTTTCAATCTGGCCTCCCCGGCTTGCATGTTCGTCCTGCCTTTTAGCATGTTGACTTGTGGCCTTAGCAAGTCGACATTGTAGGCCCTCGCAGTAGCTTGATCTCCTTGGATAATTCCTGTCCCATAAGGAGTGGGAAATTTCATGCAATAATGGTAAATTGAGGTAGTAGGTTTCAGTTCGTGCAAAATGGGTCGTCCCAATATTGCATTATAATTGGATGGCAAATTGACCACCACAAAATCTGCTAGGATCCTTCTTTGGCCAGGAGCTTCGCCCAGCTCCACGATAAGGACGATCTGACCTCAGGCTTCAATAAGATCCCCAAAGAATCCCTGTAGTTTCTTTGGATATGGTTGGAGATAGCGTTATGATATTTCCAACTGCCTTAAAGTTTGTGAGTACAGTATGTTGACCGAACTTCCATTGTCTACCAAAGTTCGATTGACTTTTACTCCAGCAACAGTCATTGTAACCGCTAGGCCGTTACTCTAGTCCTGAAGGATTCCTTCGGAATCTTCTTCCATAAAAAAGAACCATTCAAGGTCTATATCGATCCTGGGGGTTGGATCCCAATAGTTCGGCATGGTTCTTGCACTTGGGCTTGCCTTCGTCTCGCCCTTCTCGATTCCTCAACATACTGATTTCCTCCCACCATCATCTTGATTTCAGTATGTAAGGGTGGATTACAGTTGCGGACTGCCTGCTGAACTTTCGTGGGAGGCTCCCGTAGCAGCGACTGCTGCGTCGTAGGTCGATCTGCTTCTTTTAGTTTGGCAACAAACCCCTGTAACTGACCTCTTCGAATTAGGGACTCAACTTCCTCTTTTAAGTCCCGGCAGTTATCAGTGGCATGGCCCACCATCCTGTGATATCGGCAGTATCATCCCTGATGTTGTCCTGCGTGTTCGTCCTTTAGGATCGTGGGTCTGCGAAATGCCTCTTTCGCATTTGCTTGCATGAAAATCTCTTCCAAGGAGGTTTTGAGTGGGTGGTATGCTCGGAATTTGTATGGCTGAGCCCTAAGACGTTCTCTTTCTCTCCTGTCCTTCTTTCTTTCGGGTTGGGGACAGTGACTTGGTTTTTTCTCCTTTACTGTGTTGTTGAGGTCGGGTTTGGAGGTTTCCTCCTCTTGGTCAGAGGTCACTTCTTTAGCACTTATGTATTTCTCAGCTCGATTAAGGAACTCATGATAAGTCCTTGGACCGTCCTTGTGCATTGACCACCAGAATCTTGTTCTGGGCCTCAATCCTGCTAGTACTGCCATGAGTGCCGCATCATCAGATATTTTTTCC